ACACCCAAACACACACGGACTAAAATAGCGCCAGCGTCAGCACTGGGTGCACATTATTGTCTCCAGTCTCGGCTCCAAATCGATTCAAATCACACACACACACACAAACACTCGTGAAGTCCTGTAGCTCAGTGGTTAGAGCACTCGCTTTGCAAGTGAGAGACCTGAGTTCAATCCCAGGCAGAGGGCGAAACCTTGGGCAAGTTTCCTTACTCCACACAGAGCCTAATAATAATCCCTCCAAAACCAAAAACAATAATAAATTGGTCATTTTCAATCTACGACTGTTTGTGGGACATTGTTGTGCGCAATTGGCTGCCGCTTTCGCCCACAAATATAGTCAATTAATTTTACAGTATGTTCTGTGAAGCGCTTTGGGACGTCCTCATGACGTGAAAAGCGCCATATCAAATGCAAGGATTATTATTATTATTAAACAGCGCCAACCTTAGCAATGGTGGCATATTGCAAGCTCTGACATACACACACACACACAGATTCACAAACAGCGCCACCCTTATCGACAGTCAAGCTGAAGCTAGATAAGCCACCCGGTTCGAACGGGGTGTATCCTAAGTTACCGAGAAAGTAAGTTTGTAAATATAAACGGTTAATCCAAAAGATAGCGGCACATGGAATTGGGGGGAACATACTAACGTGAACTGGGGAACTATTAACGGGTAGGAAACAAAGAGTAGGGATAAACCGGTCATTTTCAGATTGGCGGGATATGACTAGTTGCGTGCCACAAGGATCAATGTTTGCGCCTCAGCTGTTTAACATCGACACAAACGATCTGCCTGTGGACATCGAAGTTCATATATCTAAATTCGCGAATGACACAACACCAGGAGGAAGTGTCAACACAGAGGACGACATGAAAAAAAAGTGCAGCGAGACACAACTAGGTTAGGTGATTGGGCAGGTAGGTGGTAGATCAAGTATAATATCGGCAAGTGCGAAGTCATCCACACAGGTAGGAAAATCTGTAGAGCGGGTTATTTTTTTAGATGTGTAGATACTTGAATGTGTTGGCGTCCAGAGGGACTTGGGTGTCCTTGTGCACCAGTCACAGAGAGTTAGTCTGCAGGTGTAGCAAACAATTAGGAAGGCGAATGATATGCTAGCTTTCATTATGAAATGATTAGAGTGCAAGAGTAGGGAAGTCTTGCTGCAACTGTATAATGCCCTGGTGAGACCACACCTGGAATACTTTGTGCCGTTTTCGTCTCCTTATTTAAGGAAGAATGCACTTGACTTGGAGGGGGAGCAGCGCAGATTTGCAAGATTAGTACCAGGGATGAAGGGAATGAGCTACGAGGATAGGCTGACAAATGTCGGCCTATATTCACCAGAATATAGAAGAATTAGTGGGTATCTTATAGAAACCTATAAGATCATCAAATGGCATGATAGAGTAGTTAGTGGAAGATTGTTTCCCCTGGCAACCCTTTCGTTTTGAGGTGAGGAAGAACTTCTTCTCTCAAAGGGTGGTGAATGTATGGAACTCACTACCCCAAAGGGCTGTTGATGCTCAGTCCTTCAGCTTATTCAAGACTGAGATAGATAGATTTCTTATTGCAAAAGGGGTTAATGGATATGGGGATAAGGGAGGTTCAGGTTATTAGCTGCAGTTAGATTTGAAGATCAGCCATGATTGAATGGCGGGGCAGGCTCGAGGGGCCGAATAGCCTTCTCCTGCTCCACCATGTTATATTATGTAACCTTACGTTATGTATGTTATGTGGTTGAAATTCGACAGCAAATTCCGCACAGCGACATGTCCCACAAACATTTGCTGAATTAGTGATCTTGCTTGAAATTTTTATTTATATTTGGAGGGATTATTACCCAAGATATTAAATGTGTTGCTTAGTCCCTCGGTCAGGGTGTTACCTTTAAAGGCTGGAGAATGGTCACACACAGACATCAATTCACAGCGTCTCCATCTCTCCTGGTGGCTGTTGTGTGTTCGAGGAAAATAATGTTTTGCTTTGATTTACTCTGAGTTCAAAGTAAAAGTAAAACGTTACTGCCACCAGAGGCTGGTGCTCACTGTAGATCTGCTTACAATGATCCTGGCAAAATCCCTTCTCGCCCAAGAGATGAGGTGCACAAGGTCCCACTGGAGCTGATCTGGAGCTTGGCAACGATTGTGGGAGTCGAGCCTGTCCTGTGTGATGGTCACCGGTCCGGTTCCTGAGCCGGGACTGTTGTTAGTATTTCAGGGCACTCACTGCTGATAACTGCAGAATCCAGTCTGGCTCACCGACAGGAATACAAGGCAAGACCAATCATTGGGGCAGGGAGTCATCCCATTCAACTCCTGTTCATCCTGCAGGGAAAATCCTAATGAAGTGGGTTGTCCTTGCAGGCAGGCTTGAGGTATTTTTTTTTGAGGAGTGGGTTGATGACAGCTGTACTGAAGGGGATCCTGAGGTGAAAGTCTGATTAATGGGGTTTGCCATCAGTGGATAGAGGATGGGGAGATGTGCGATCAGTAGTTGATTGGGAGTGGGGTCTCGACAGCAGGTTCTTGGTTTCATTCATGGCAAAAATTAAACGTTTTAACAAGTTATTTAAACAATTAACTAAATATGACATAAATTGTAATAATGGAATGAAATTCTGATTACGGTTAACAGGTGATAATTCCAGTTGGACACTGTGTTGATTTGCATTGGTGGAGTCATTAAGCAAATTGCAATTGAACTCTCTCTGTCTCTGAGAGACACAGCAGAAAAGTCACAATTTGTCAAATAGGACAAGTGTCAGGATTAGCATTTGTGATGAGATGAAAGCCGTTCACTCCTCCTTGTAGGTTTATGTACAGTGTTGTAGTGTGACATTATCACAGTTTGTGTAATAATAATGATAATAATCCTTGCGTTTGATATAGTGCGTTATCACATCATTGAGACGTTACAAAGCGCTTCACAGAATACATTGCAAAGTGTATTGACTGTACATGTATTTGGGAAACGCGGCAGCCAATTTAGCACAGCAGTGTCTGACACACAGTCGTGCATTGAGTGACCAATTTATTTTTATTATTTATATAAGGGTTCATTATCCTCGGAAAAACTATCTGCCAACCGTGTTCCTACCTACTGCTAAGCAAACAGTGCTGTGTGGATGAGAGAAATTTGCTCAACGATTTACCCGCCTGGGAATCAAACACAATTCTCTCGCTTGCGAGGCGAGAGCTCTAACAACTGAGCTCAGGACTTCAGTAGACTGAAATGGTATTTACAAGAGGTTTTCGTTTATCTATCAAACAAGGAATGCAGAGTTGGTTGGGTTGACATTGTGCCTCAACGTTAGCTGCGATTGTACAAGGGAGCCATCTGCAGTGCTGTGAACCACCTTATTATGCCTGTATAGAAAATATTGGGGAGCCAGTCCTGGGTGATGCCGGTACCGGTACAGAGCAACATAGGATGTCTTGGCGGTGTATTAACAGTCGCATTGTCGATCTTCATCAAGAGCCTTTGCCACCAGAGATTGATGATGGGAAGTCTTGTCCACGTTGACGGGTTTCAACATCACATCCGTGACCCCATAGCAGTGTTTCCTTGAAAAGCTCATCCCGTGACCTTGCTGTCAGGCTGTTAACTATGGGCGTTGGATGTTCAGGTCCTTTATCGCCACCATATTGATGATAAATCTGTTGTGAATAAAGCTTTGGTGACAAAGTATCATAATAGTCCTTGCATTATTGAGAGCTTCATCCAAACAACAATTAAAAAAACAAATTACACTGAACATCGACTTTCACAAATCAATTTACAGTGAAGGCTTTTGCGCTAGATGTGTGGTTTAGGATGAGAGAGGGGTGGCGAGGATGATGAGTGATGGTGTAATGATCACTGAAGAGGCGGTTGAAAAGGAAGGTCTTGAGACCGAGGTAAGTCGATGGAGATTTTTTGTTAGATGTTGTAGATCCTCTTCCAACTTTAATCGCTACCACGCTCTCTGCCACCCAAACTCAGCGACGGCCACAAACATTACCAACCCGAACACTCCCTTTGCTCAGTCAGAATCTTGGAATCGTTTCCACTCGTTCCGAGAGATATTTATCATCCACATTAACACTCATAAGTTCAAGTTATATCCTGCGAAGCAATTTGAGACATCTCGAAGATGTGATAATGTGCTGTGTTTAACAAAAGGATTGTTATTATTAAAAAAAGGTGTTTTTCACCCCCCAAATACTTCTCTCCCCTTTAAGAGGGAGTCCACCTCGCTATAAATCCCAAATAGGGTCCACCGACTGAAATCCATCTCTAGCACCCCCACAAACCCAGGCCCGCCCGCTTCCCTATTTGACTCCTTTTTGTTCGGCTCCTTTAGTGGCTGATAGACAGAGAGAGTGAGAGTTCAAGAGAAAGAAAGAGAGAGTGAGTGTGAGTTAGAGGGAGAGAGTTAAGGAATAAAGCGGTTTATGTATTTGACATTAATACAGAATTAGGAATATTTTGCGCTGATGCACTTTAAACCCCGGGGATCGGGGGACTTTTAAACCCGTTTCCCGTGTTTATTCGCAGACTTGGGGTGAAAATCAAAACCCAAAGTGCATTTAAAACCGTGTTTGTATAATTGATATTGATGCAAACATTTGGGTTTGATAAACTATTTCCCTTTAAACCTCGGGGATCTGGGGGCGTTTAAACCCGTTTCCCGTGTTGTACCCAGAGAGCGGGTTATTATTTGAACGCAAAGTCAATGCAAAAACCAATGGATGTGATGGGATGTAATGCAGATTGAGGAAGCCTGTGAAAGGCTTTGAGGCGTCTAGCAGAAATGATGAGGAGCTGTATGCAATTTAAGGATTATTATTGTCGATATCAGATGCTGAAAGCTCCAGACTGATGCTAATGATTTGAAACTTGACTTAATGTAGACATTTTTCTTCGCACGTTGACTCCACATTCGCTCACTATCACACCAGTCGCTTCACAGTCGATCCCGAGAAAGATTGGAGCCGTGGGCCCTGTGTGAACGGTGTAATATAAACCGCAAGCTTTATTGTATCATGACACAGCTTATAAAAGTTTCCAGCCTTGTGGCCATCAAAGCCAAACATAGGTCACGGCTGAGGGTTTCCTCCTCACTATTCTGTCACCCGACAGATCCTCAGAGGCTCAGAGTTTTTCCTACCGTCATCATCACCGGGATTGAAGAAAGGATAAAGTTTCTCAGTGAAAGTCTGAGTGAAAATGTGGAGATGAGACATGTTATCAGCGTTGTAAAATGTCACCTCTCCCCCCTCATAGTTCAGGTAAACTCCCAGCTTCCCGGGTCTCTCTGTCAGGGGCAGTCGGATTCGAGGTAAGGTACAAGCTTTATATTCATCCCCGTTTCTCAGCTTCACAACCCAGAATCCAGTTTCTGGTGACAGTATGATCTTTCCTTTCCTGTTGACAGACTCGCTGGCCAATCCCACATCCCACTTTGTCTTGTTGGCCACCTGCACCTCCCAGTAATGTCTTCCTGAAGTGAAGCCCTCAGACCCCAGGACATAGACATAGGTATCAAATCTCTTCGGGTCATTAGTGAGTTGCTGAGGTGTGTCTCCGTCTCTCACGCTGGTCCGGTCCTGAGACAGGATGAGACTCGGATGCGCTGTGTCAGCATCCAGAGTCACAGAGGCCGGAGCTGAGAAAGAGAAACAACACAAAGTGGAGTGAGGGTACGTCTGGGAGCTCAGACTGTGTGTGAACACATCTACACCTGGGAACACAATCCAGCTCAGAGGGTCACAGTCTGTGTGAGGGTATGTGTGCGTTTGTGTGTGTGTGTGTGTGAGAGATGAGTGTGAGATGAGTGTTTGAGGGCGCGTGAGGGAATGTGTGACCCGCGGATGGGCAGTTTCAGTATCCAGAGTCAGAGAGATTGCGGGGAGAGGGAGAGAGAGGTTTGCACTGAACACTGTGGTAGGATGATGTGAATACTCTGGTTCCTTTTACTCAGACTCTTACCTGCACCACGCAGAAGCTTTTTTCTCGCTGCAAACAAGAATAAAGGAAAGATGGTGAGGTTCCTGGTCACCAGGAGAAGCTTCCCCAGGTTTCACTGAACAATGAGTGAGGATACGGAAACCTACGCCATTACACTGACTGCAAACTGTCCTCGACTTTCAGTCTAATGATAACTGACCAGGATTAGTCCATTCCTAGGACAACAGCCCACACCACAATGGCTAAGTTGCCAACATTATATGAGAGAGATTTTCTGTACAAATGGCAAAAAAAATATCGGCCACGATAAGGGACTGGCCCAATTATGAGCGGCAGCGAGGGTAGCTGTTGGTGCAATGTAACCAGGGGCCAATAGGTTTCTGCTCTGACCCGGAAGGAGGAAGTAGTTGCAGTGGGGAGGATGGCAGGTGAGAGGACAGAACATCAGCAAACAGCGACTGCAACACCATTAGATATAAGAGAATAACAAAATCAATTCGAACAGTAAAGTTTAGTTCTGGGAAATCCATGAGATAATACAGACCGATCTAACAATAAAGCAGAGAACAGGCAGTTTAGATGGTGGATATATAGTGGATAAATTGCCGGATAAACATCCCCAGAAGATGGAATGTGTTTAGTGGTGAAATTGTAATAAGCTTCAACAAAGAGGAGTTTTTTCCGGTGTGTGGACAAGTGGAAAGAAGTGGAGAGCATAAGGGAGATAGAGGGGATCACACACAGAATATGCGACAGGGCAGCGAGGGAAGCAGCTGGGTAAAGCTGTGAAGACGGCTGATTCTCAGTAACTTTCTCTCTCAGTTGCTTTGCCTAACTCTATCTCTCACTCCATTCACAATGACGGAAGATGTCCCTCTGCCGTCCCATCTCTTTCTGTTGTCTTTCTCCATCAGTTTGTCTGAAATTGTGGAAAATATAGTTTACGGGCAAAGTGGAGCTCAAATAATGTAACAGATGTCAAAGAGATTTAATTTTGCTTACCCAGTGTTCTCTGAAGAGCTAGTGAATAAAAAATAAAATTGTTAGCACAGAAGATTATTACCACAGCGGCAAAACGATTCTGATACTATTTTATGGTAACGATTAATCTGAATAATCTATAAATGTACAGCTTTAACCAACATTCTGAACTACACAAAATTAGAACTCAAACGTTCACTGGCATTCAAAGGTTGACATTCACATTCTTTGGTTATTTGAATGTCTCTGTTTTGTGTTTCAGCGTTTACTCCTGTTTACAATTGGTTTCCAATAATAGAGTGAGCTACGGAGAGAATGATCAAGACAGAAGTATAATATGTACATGTGTCTTTAGTGTAGCTTAGTGGTTACACACTCGCCTCGCAATAGAGAGACCTGGATACAATTCCTGGCAGGGCGAAACCTTGGACAAGTTTTCTTAATCCACAGACGAGGAATGGAATTGGAATGACTGTTTTATTAGATCAGCGTCTAACCTACACATTCCTAGAAACGTTTTACTGTGTATTCCGTTGCCAAGTTTACAAAACATACGCATTCACATGAAAACCCACAGTATCTTCGCCTTGCTTCATCCCTTTCCTCCTTCAAGGCCGGTCTCAAGACCTTTCTCTTCAACCGTGCCTTCAGATCCCCTCTCGACTCTCTACCCCCACCTCGCTCGCTCCCTTCCCAGCTACACACTGACCATTTCATCCCTGCTCGGGTCCGGAACCAACTATCCAGCGCCTTGGGACGTCCTCCCGACGTTAAAGGCGCTCTATAAATGTAATCCTGTTGTTTTTGTTATTGTTTTAGTTGTTGTGATGAGCGCTGGTAGTGATGGGAACTTACCTGTGATCGCTCGGTGCTGTTTTACACCGTACCTCACAAGGAAACTCAGCACCAATATAGCAAGTCCCAGGAGCAGTGAGGAAACCACCAAACCCACTTGCACTTTGGGAAAGAACTGGTCTGCCAGGAAATATAAATAAATGTGTAAAGATAGATTCTAATATCCAACAGCAAGCGGCTCTGTTTACCCTGGTTTGACGTATGACACACAGCAGAAGCCTCTGACAGGATCACTTTTAATCTCCCCTCAATGGTAACAGATCACCTCACTGTCACGTCAATATATTGTATAGAAGCGCACTGACGGGATTGTAATCTCAAGACATTGTAATCTCAGGGTGAGACACACATTGTAAACCACTCAATGTTCATTCTCTGAATCTACTTCAGTGTCAAACTAAGGCCATAATGAAACTTATCAATCACTGACCTCAAACATTCCCAATATGCAATTCATTTCATAATCCTTACATTTCATACACCGTCTTATCACATTTTTCAGACGTCTGAAAGCGCTTCACAACAAATAATGCAGATTGTGTTGGCTCTGTATTGTGTGGCCAAAACGGAGCAGCCAATAGTGCACAGTGGTGTCCCACAAACGGACGTGCGTAGTGAACCAATTATTATTATTAATATTGCTGGAGGGATTATTACATCCCGATGGTTTGTTTTTCAGAGAATGAGATCAATAGGCTGAATGAACATTTTTCTAGGTCTGAACTGATTTTGTATTTATTTTATGTTACACAAAGCAGCCACATCTCGAAGTCTATCTCTATTATCACTCTCACACACGGAGATCTCTTAAGCTATCACTAGTATCACTCTCTCTCTCACTCTCTCTAACACACACACACATCTGACAGAATATTACTAATATATCACACACACGCATCATTCAGACTATTACTGATCTCTCTCTCTCTCTCTCTTTCACACGCGCAACATCTCCCAGGCTATCACTGATATCCCTCTCTCTCTCTTTCTCTCTCTCTCGTTCAGTCTCTTTCGTTCTCTCTCTCTCTCTCTCTCTCTCTCTCTCCCTCTTCTCTCTCTCTCTCTCTCTCTCTCTCTCTCACACACACACACACACACACGCACGCACAGAAATACACACACATCTGTCAGACAATCATTGATATCTCTCATACAGACACACATCTCTCAGGCTATCATTGATCTCTCTCTCTCTCTCTCACTCTCACTCTCACACACACACACTTTCACACATCTCTCAGGCTACCATTGGTCTCTCTCTCTCACACAGACACACACAACTCCCAGGCTATCAGCGACATCTCTGGCTTCTGTATTTACTGACCTGAAATTTGCAATTTTGCTTCTTGCTGATTATCTGCGGTGCGAATAACACACCTGATCGTGTTGGTCGATGGCGTGATTTCTATTTGACTTTCAACGCTGAAGAAACCTTTAGAATCCTGTCTGACAGTCGTAATACTGACTGACGTTAAGTTTTGTCCTTGATCATCAGTCCACAGAACATCTGGTCTTGGGAACCAACCACTGGATTCACTCAGCAGCCTCAAACCATCATTGGCCTCCTCAACGTGAACCAATGGCTGGCTGCCAAGGGCTGGTAGGAGGCAGGAAAATGTGAGTTAAATACTCAGCAAATAATATCTTTACACAGAATCTTGTCCAGTAATTGGGTTGAACAAATCCCCGCAATGGCCAGAGAAAAGTTCATTAATGTAGATTGTTATCTTGTTCACAATACGTTACACAGTCTAACTCACACACAATAATCCTGTCGTCTGATAAAGCGCCTTATCACGTCTTAGAGACGTCTCAAAGCTCTTCACAGCACACACTGTAAAGTGAATCGACTGAGTATTTTGTGGGCGAAACATGCAAAGCAGTGTCCGCGAACAGTCGTGGATTCAGCGATCCGCCAATTGATTAACAACCTGATTCCTATTCCCTGCTGGTGAACAGAGGCCTGAGTGTCAAGCGAGGAAACTTCCCAACATTTCGCCCCAACCTGCTTGGGAATAGATCCCAGGTCTTCTCGCTTGCAAGGCGAGGGCTCTAACCCCTGAGGTACACAATCAACTGCAGATTGTGTGTGTGAGATATCCATTCTAAATACCCACCGGATGAGGATGTTGATTAAAATGATGATGCTGGCATTAGTGCTTTTCACATCAGGATGTAGTCCCAAAGTGCTTCACTGGATGTAACCTGTAGTAGAGTGACTGTGTTGGAAGGCTAAAGCGACAGCCCAATAGCACACAGTAACGTCCCAAGAACAACCAGGAACTGAATGACCAATGTTATTGGGTAAATTGTGCGTCAGACCACTGGGCTAAACTCCATTTCCTTCTCGAGCAGCGCAGGTGAGATTTCATATCCACCTCGAACATTACCAGCGCAGCTCGGATGATACACAGCTGTTACACATGCTAAGACGAGGTGAACAAGACTGACCTTTAACCTGCAATTGTATCTTTGTGCCTTCCTGTGATCCGGCGTAGTCAATAAAACACGTGTAGGTTCCATTATCTGTCACCCGCACATCTGCCAGGCTGAGAGAAACATCTCCCTCCTTCAACTGCTCCGTAGACAGGTGTGCTCTGTATCTGTAGGCCTCATCCTCCTCTTCTATCTGATGTCGTCCCCCTCTGTATACGTAAACGGGGGAGTCGAACCTGGTCTTGAACCACCTGATCTCCACACCCTCTGTCAGCAGGGATATGGAACACTTACAGTCCAGCACCACATAGGAACCAGCAGTGGCTGTGACAGGGTGAGTAGGGCCGCTCACTTTGAACCTCTCTGCTTAATAACAAACCAATAGATAGCGTTAGCATTCTCGCAAACACATCTTCAATGAAAAGTCGCTTAAATGTGGGAAGTTTCTTTACTCCACACAAATCTATTTGCTAGCAATGTTCAGGTAACCAGTTGTTAGTCGATCAGCGGATTAGCTATACTGGGGGAAATAATCCCTTAAAAAATAAATTGGTCACTTAATCCACGATTGTTTGTGAGGGACGCTGCAATGCGCAATTGGCTGCTGCGTTTCACCCACAAAATTCACAGGCAATTCACTTTACAGTGTGTCATGTGAAGCGCTTGGAGACGTGTGGAAGAAGTGATCAGCTGCTGTTTATCATGATATCTAAGGGAAGTGACGCAAGCTAAAATTTCACCAGAGGTTAAAACGAAGCAGAAATAATCTACTCAAATAATCAAATGGTAACTGAAGACTTTAGTAAGATGTTGTGTTATATAAAAGTAATACAATCATTTACAGCTGATACGGCGTTTTTCCCCTCAGGAGAACATCTGCAAACGTTTCACATAATATAATGTAAAGTATGGTGACTGCAGTTGAGCAAAGCTGACAAGTTCCGCACAGCCCATGTCCCCCAAACACAGGAGGAAGTGAGTGAACAATTATATTATTTGGGGAAATGTTGGTCTCCAAGTTGCAGGAAATTTCCTCTATTTCTTTTCGAACATCTGCATCTAGTTCTTTATCTTCCAGCTGAACAGGCGGGCATGCTCTCTCTCTCTCTCTACGACAGGAATATAGCCCACTCCACTCCCCCCCCCATACCCCCACACCCAGAAAAATCAGACACAAACAATGTTTTCTTACCAGCCACAGCAAGGGCAAGCACAGGCCAGAGGTTCTGAATCAAGTGTTTCCAGTTCATCATCCAACACCTACTCAATGAGATGAGAACTAGTTACCATCCAGAAAGTCAGCTCATTATACACAGAGATTTGTCATCAAATATGTTGCATCTTTGAACTATAGTAGCTGTGTTCTCCACAGGACAGAATAAATCCCCCTTTCTTTTGTAACCTTTACCACAGGCGGTGCTCTCATTTTTAAACTGTGTGGGTTTCGCTGGTTAGACACGAGGAGCTACTCCAAAGCACACGTTGGGCTTCCCATCGCCTTGGCCTGATACTGCCCAACACTCCCGTTATGGCCGTTTTAGGTTTTGTACATAATAAAACAACTTTATGTTTGTTATAACACCTGTCACAACCAGGAGATTGTTGCAGTTTGATGAATAATTTTGCTATTGTAATTCCTATGATGTTCTCTCCCCTCACGTCTTGATCATCACAACCAGTTGCTGGTCAGAGACGCACCTCCACTCGCAGGCCATCTCAATCTTCTCGAATTCTCAGTATTCAAACACCAAACAGGGAATAAACTGACTGTAGATCCCGCTTTACTATTGACACCAGATCTCACAAGGCACAACTTTTACTTCACGTTTAATCTGGATGCGAATATGAAACCAGCCGATCCTGCAAGTGGAATACTGTGAACTGAATCATTAGTTTAATTCTAAAATCATGAGGAAACATTTGCGGAAACTTAGGTGTTTCCCTTCTAAAATAAAGGGAAGTGTCCTCAATATATAAAGTAATGAAATGTGTGTCCAGCTGTTGATGTCCAGAGTCTAATCCTGCTTTCGGTTTCTGTGGAAGTCACATTACAGACATGCAAACAGGGAATGAGGAGATCAAATATTCCCTACAAGATAGATTGGGAACAATCTTGCGATATTCACTATTACTATTGACTGACGTTCACCACTTGCTGCAGTAACGTAACATTCCTGCGATGAGACCCTCTGGTCACAGCCTCACCTTCCCTGGAATATCCTCAATATCACAGACTACGCTCCGCATGACTGATCCACAGGTTAACGTGTCACAGACCTATTTATTTGGAAGAGATTGCTAGGTTGGGTCGAGGAACAGGTGAGAGTTAAATGTGAAACGACAGTCTTGAACTCGCCTAACTGGGGGATGGAGGTCAACGGAGCTGAGGTGGGAGGTGATGGGATAACAGGTTTACCAGGGGCCTAGAGTGGGAAACAAAACGGGTTGAGTTCTTTACACCGTTGTGACCTCCATTTCAAAATCCCCTCATTCGTTTTCAACTCGCTTCATGCCATCGCACCTCAACGTGAAGCTCCATGACCTCAACCAGATAACTCGGAGCCGAGAGTGTTTCAGCTAAACCAGGCAAGTGGAACAACAGTAGCAATACAATTATTAATTTGCCACCACAATACACTGCCCTTATCTGACACCATTTTCCTTTTAAATCAAAACAGGAAATTGTTTTGACGGTCGGGCTCCAAACACACACAATTTCTGCACACAGACACACAGGGTTTCCACACTGACACCCACGCACGGGCGCGCGCACACACATACATACATAAGCACACACACAGACACAAGGTCTGCACACTGACACACATACAGACACACACTCACACAGATACTCACAGAAACAGGGATAGCACATTGACACACACAGACACAGCGTCCCACTGACAAACAGTCAAACCCACACACACCTACACGCAAAGGGTCTCAAAACAAACACACCCACCTACAAAGGGTCTCAACACAAACACACAGACATAGAATGTCCACACTCACAAATCCCCCGCCCCCTACCCAAATATACACACAGACTCAGACATACACACAAGGTCTCCGCATGATACACATTTTGACACTGGGTCTCCACACTGACACACACACAGATACAGCTCTCCACGCTGACAGCCACACGCACAAACCCACACACAGATACAGTGCCTCCACAATGACAAACACACACACACATACACAGACACTGACACAAGGTTTCCACACTGCCATACACATATGCAGACACCCACACACAAACAAAGGTCTTCACACAGACTCACACACTGGTTCTCCACACTGACAAACACACACACAAACACAGGGTCTCCACAGAAATACTCACACGCACACACACAAACACCGACACAGCGTCTCCACACTGACATACACACACAAACACAGACACACACACCCAGGGTATACGCAATGCTACTCACACAGGGACACGGATACACACAGATATACAGGGTTTTCTCACAGACACTGACACACATATACACAAAGGTTCTCTACACTGACACACAAACACAGACACAGCGTCTCCACATTCACAAACACACACACACCCACCAACACATACCACAAAGGGTTTCCGGCTGCTTATTTCAGCTTCGGCCTTCAGATCTCCTTGAGGTGACCTTGGAGAATAATAATCCTGACAGATTTTACAGCGCCTATTACCTGGAGGGAAGTCCCAAAGCGCTTATAGAAAAGACTGTGAATGGTTTAAACACCTGGTGAGCTGAGAGATTTCACATTGGGGAATATTAAATTATTTTCATACTTGTGCTGTTCTTTCCCCTTACAGCCAGTCCGTCATCATCACAACAAGGTGCTAGTCAGAGAGGAAGCTCGATTCCCTGCCCGTCACTGCTCTCCTATTGTCAGAATTCAAACACAAAATGTGGAATAAGCTCCCGCTTTTCTATTGAACCCAGATCTCACGATACACGATTTTTATTTCACGTTTGAAGTGGACGTGAAAGTGAAATCAGTCAATCCTGTAAGCGGAATACAGTGAAGTAAATCACTAGTTTAATTGCAAAATTATCAGTAAACGATTTGACAATCTTACCTGTTTCCCTTCTACAATAAACAGCAGAATATTCACTCTTAAAAGTAAATGAAATGTGTGTCCAGGTGCTGATATTCACAGACTAATCCTGCTTTCGGTTTCGGTGGAAGTCACATTACAGACACACATATATGCCGGGAATGACGAGATCAAATATTCCGTTCAAGATCGATCGGGGAACAGTCCTCTGATCTCCACTAGTAGTAATGAATGACATTCAACACTTGCTGTTAGTAGCGTAACGTTCCTACGCTCAGACTCTCTGTTAACCGCCTCACCTTCCTCAATACCACAGACTAGCCTCCACATGACTGATTCACAGGTTAATGTGTAACAGACCTGTGTGTTTGCAGGAGATTGCTAGGGTGCGGCGTGAAACTGGTGAGCTTTAAATGTGAAAAGATAGTCTTGAAGACGCCCAGCTGGGGGACGCGAGTCAACGAAGCTGAGCTAGGATGTGATGGGACAAGAGGTTTTCCAGTAGCCTGGAGTGGAAAACAACACGGGTCCAGTTCTTTATACACCTGTGACCCCAATTTCAAAATCCTCTCACTTGTTTTCAAATCACTTCATGCCAACGCCCATACCCATCTCTCCGGCCTGCTAACCGCACATGACATCACTCTCTGCCTCTGCTCAGCCGATCTCGGCCTCCTGTTTGGCCCTCATCACCTCCGTTCCCATCGGTGGCCGTGCCTTTAGCTACTAATCTCCATAAATCTGGAAATCTCTCCGGCAAAAAGGTTTTGAATCTCTCTCTCTCACAAACACACTCACGCACGCGATCTCCATCTATCCCCCACCTCTCTCTCTCTCCCTCTTTCTCTCTCAGCCTGCCCCCCTCTCTCTCTCTCTCTCACTGTCTCACTCGCTCTCTCTCCGGAGACATTCACTCTCACAGCTGAATCTGTATCGTAGGTTGGGGAGAGGCTCGGCTCAGGGAACGCGGAGTGTGTGTTCAACACAAACATGCTACGTGGGTGAAGGAAAACGGACAGAAGCAAGTTGTCTTTTCCCACTGCTTTTCCAGCTAGGATTAGTATTCCTGTTAAATAGTTACTAAGCTAATTGGTTAGTTAATTAATTAGTTCGCTACTTGGCAAGGTAGTTAGTTAGTCAGTCATTGAGTTAGTTTGTTAGTTATTGCATTGAATGCAGCTTTATCAGGAATTGAGGGAAAGATTCCGCGCCCCCAGTGACTGTTCGGCCCTTCCAGGCCCTGCCAATGAGCAAGACTGAGCTGCTCTATATTCAGCATTGAAAGCCGTGGGATAATGTAGAACCCCCTGGCTCAGGAACCTGATGAGTAACCATCACACAGCACTGCCTCGATTCCCACATTCGTTGCCATTCTGCAGATCAGCTCCTCAAGGAGCAGAAGGGCTTTCACTAAGACCATTGAGGGATGCTACAAAGTACAACAAAGCGCTCAAGCAGGTTTATGTTATTATATTTTAAAAAACGGTAACGTACAGTAAATAATTATATTGATCAAATGTAAAACAGCAATCAGTACATATCTTACAATGCAGGTTTTATCTCATGACAATATTCTTGAGTGAAGTTCAAAGGTTTCTTTGACAACAATGTACTGAGAGCAATACAAGTTAATAATTATTCCACTAGAATTGATCACTTTGGATGTTGGAACACTTTTACGAGAATGTTTGGTGACATACTGGAAACAAGGTGTGGTCTGGTATGTCACCTATTGTTTCAGTGTTTCTCAGTTAGTCCTGATTCAATCTGCATCAGCAATAGGATTAGCGGTTCTGTAATGCGCGATCGTTTACAAAACACATGCCATCATGGGGCCAGTTCAGTTTCAAGGTGCTAATAGTTGGGTTCATAGTGGTCAAATCATGTATACTTATTATGTTGTGAATAGATTATATTAAACAGAATGAAATAAAGAAATAAAAACTGTCATGTGACACCCACGCACACACGCTCAAACACACAAACACACACAGTCGTAGTAAAGAGGCACCGAGCTCGGTGTACTGGAAGGTGACCCATGGCCAAGGAAGATAAGGATGGCTGGATCTAGAGAATGGATGGTAAGCCATCTGTTCTGAGAAGGGCCCGTGACGTACGGGCAGGAGTAAATAGGTACCTGAGATAATTGGACAAGGAAATGGGATGGGATACGAACGGCAAGTTAAATTGTGAGGCAACTTAAAGTGAGCAGGTCACATGGACAGATTTAGAAAAAGGAATGAAAGTTCAGGCCTATAGAGTCAGGTGTTTTAATCAGGCTAGATAAGATGGAATAAGAGGAGTATTGTTCTCTTCCAGAAAACAGTAGTAGCTAGTACAAGAAACGACAACTTAAAGACGGGGAAGCAATGCATGGGAAAGTGCAGAGAGTGTGAGAAGGAAGTCTAGGGAAAGAGTTGGAACGCAGAAAATGGCTATCAAAAGTATATATAAACCGATAGCCAAAACTAGTTAGCCAAAAAAAGAAGAGAAGAGCTGCGGGAAGAGCCTCGAGACAAGCATCTGAACAGTCTCTGGACAAGCTCCGGAGAGTTTCTCGGGAGTCTCTGAGGAGAGGAAGAAGAGTGCCTTTGAGGGAATGAGGATAATTCAAGCTCTCGCCGGAGAGGACTGCAAAGACGATAGGTCCAGCTCTCGCCGTAATGGACCGCAAAAAGGACAAAATATTTGCAGCTGGAAGAGAGCCAGAGACGTTTGCAGCCAACGGCTAGTCAGAGACATTTGCAGCCTTAGTGTTTAATTTTTGTGCCTGGCTTAGAACTTCATCATGGCTTCCTGCGTGCTTGGCAGTTTCGAAACTACTTACTAAAACATACACCCAACAAGCAAACACAACAATTAGAGATCAATTAGACACATTTATATATCCCATAATGCTTCTTTATATATGCTTAGAATTCTAGCATTGAGTATATCTTGTTAAGTAGTAATTCAGCAGTCATTTAAGTGCGATGAGTAATGATAATGAGTCCGGTGTAATGTGAAGCTTATGCGGCTTTTTAGTTGCTAATAGAACGTTTTAATAATATCATTGGTACTGTTTCTGACAAACGCTTGAACACAAAATTTCACAACAATGTGTATATCAGAGGATTTCTCTGGATGGACAGAATGTGCTCGATTCTTATCATTTTGGTGAGCATCTGGCATATTATCACATTTTTCGGTCATAAGAACAGAGATGTCTTTTACTCTCATGAATTCTGTGAAACTTAAACTGAATAGCTGAAAGTTAGTGGTTTCAACTCTTACTATTCTGCTTATTATGTATGTTTCACAAAGTATTCGAATCCACAACTGCAGAAAATGTTGAAGAAAATACATTTATAGAGAAGCATTTAGGAAGTAATTGAAGTTTACAATACGACACCCTCTTCGGGGAAATTGCACACTAAGAAGGCATATTTTCTGCAAGGAGAAATTGACTAACTTTATGGGTTACATTCACGAAATAAACAAAATAACAGTCACAAAAATAATTGGAACATGGCACACATAGACTTATTAAATACGTCTTGATTCAAATGGCAGGATGACCCACATAAATACGACAAGTGGTAACATTTGATGTTAGAAGTATGCAAACACATCAAGAGCAGTGTTATGATTAAAGCAACTGAGTTCTGCTGCTCCCCAACAAGATGGCAGCGAGTTCCTGGAACCTGACAGCCAGCTGGTGTCGGCACAAACCGGCACTTATTAGGTTTCCAATGTGTATCCCCCTGTTGTGGCTCCATGTTGTTGTCCAGACGGCAAGTTGACAAACAATATTGGGTTTCAGTCATGTTCCCCCCGGGATGGTGGGTGCACAGATTCCTGATCCAGGATGCCCTGCTGCACAATGGGCACGACTGATGACAAGATTCTTCTGGGTAAAGATTTGGATACATTTTGGCCCATCTCTCCAGAATACACAAACTATCACCCGCCCACACCCACCGCATTCATGCTTTTTTTTTTAATGGTCCCAGTGTTCTTGTCATCTACCCCACTTCCTGGTAACTCATTCCTCTGTGTTAAGAAATATTTTCAGGTAACGGTCCCGAAATTACTCTTTACAATTCTACAACCATGTTCTCATATCTGTCTTGTTACGTCATACAGTATTGATTTACATTTGCTTTTCAATCCCATTTAAAACTATCAGCCCTTGTGGATTGTCTATTCCATAACACAGCTCAATCTGTTTGGACATATTGTGTTTTCTGTTTCCCTTCCCGGCCTCCGCGAAGCTAATATATGTTTCATTTAATGCATAGGATGTACAAAAAATGTTCTGCGAAAGCTTGTCTGGCAGTTTAACCACATTAACAACTTTTACTTAACTTGGTTCAATCATTTACTGAAGTAAAACTTAAGTTGTTGATGCACATCCTGTCAATAATAAGAAACATAAACCTTGCATTTGGCATCGCACTTTACGGGTTGATGCTATCCTGAGCCTCAGAGGTGTCGGGTGAATTTCAGTGATTAATAGGGGAGAGAAGACACTTCACACCAATTCTGCCATAAATCACGGCTCCTCGGGAACGATCTGTTTGTGGTTATACATGCTACTGTTTGTTGCTGAATGACGCCAGTAACATGTACTGGCGTCATTCTTCCTAAACTTCGTAGTAATAACAGAGGAATTAGACACTCGAACTAATGTGTTGATCACTTGATCTAATGTATTAACTAGGCCGGTATATATTGCAATAAAACAAGTTCCACATCCAGGTAAGCTATATCCGTCTGTATGATCTGTATTTGTAGCTCTGGATGTGGGTGCCGCGCTCTCCCTCGAAATCACAACCACGCACACAAACACATAAGTTAAAGCAGGAAACAAGCAATCCTTCAGGCATGTTCTGCAAATGTAACCCTGTGCTTCCCAAATAGGCGCGATTGAGCCTCAGAACTGTATAGCAAATACAAAAGTCATTCGTTGGCAATGTTATTGAAAATAAAATCTGTTGAATCTCATTCACCTGTCTTTCCCAAAACCACTGGGTTGTCTTCAGATAAACGTAGAGCTCCCTCTTGAGAGCTCACTTTGACCAATAGACTTGAATGGTATTTCAGAATCGAATAACGCTTTGTGAAACAAATTTCCTCATCTACCACATTGCTCCGTTGCTTATTATTTCAAACTTATTTAGCGATAGTACTTAAAAACGAAACATATGCAGGGTCATGGGTTAGTTGTGTGGGGAATGTTAACAGAAGGATAGTTCCTTCAGTCTACCCCACTCTCAGGAGCTCGGGATCTTACCCTGCGTGAGAAGCTCCATACAAATGTAAGATATTGTTGTTGCAATA